AAACCTAAGGTACATATCGATCTTTACATATATCCACTGCTTGCCATTTTTTGTCTTTTTTCCTATCGCACGTAATGTATAATGTATAATGGATTATGCAGTCCCTAGGGTGATCCAATACCCCAAAGATTAGATGTCATATTTTTATACATATATATTTTCTTATATTGTACATTATTTTTTTATTCCACTTTTTATTATTCTGTCTCCATAGTGTAGGTTGGTTTTCAATTCCATATATCATGTTATGATTCATTAATATACTTATATGAAATAATAGTATTTTATGTAATCATGCAACCCAAATACCTTTTACCAAACTCTGTATGCAATGCATTATTTTTTAACATTTCTATAATTGTTTATTTCTAATAATCTTTTATTTTTATACTTTATTTTCATATTCTATTTCTACTGTATTATGTATTATATACCACACAATTTATTTGTAAAATATAAGAATGTTTTATCGGTAATTAAGGAAATGTGTATTTAAAGAATGACTGAAGCAATAGTCAGCATCACGTCTCTGATGAAGTTGGGCGCATTCCCTACGAAACGCGTAAGACAGATCTTCACAGCATAATACAGAAGCAGACCGCGTTTGCCAGCAGCAGTCCATTCTTTCACGCAGGACCTTTGGTAGCAACTGTAACCGGAATTGTCCTTTTTGCATGTCTCTGGAAGTGAGGCTCCTGTACGGGACGTGCACTCAGACCAATGCCGTCCTCACCGGCAACCGGAATACAAATCATTTGTCAACTCAATCCAAGTCCATCCTTAAACAATTCGAAGGTCCTTGCTATCATTTGACTCACACAAGTCTGGTAATAACTTATGAACTATATCTGACCTGTATTTTTGCATTTTTAACCCCCTTTATTTATATTTTTAATTGTGAAATAAACTATTTTTTTGATTAATATATCCAGTTTTTATTGCCTCAGTCTATAGGGATACATTGTTTATATCGCCAAAGCTAACAGTTCCATGTACTGTATTGCTTAATCATTTAGATACTTTTATCTTTGATATTACAACGTATATTATTTGGAACAAGCATCATCTACCTCACATTATATTGGGGATTGAGATACCTGTTCTGTACATATTTGCTGCATACCGATTCAGGCGTTTAATTTATTATTTAATTTTCTTATCATATTTCATTCTATTATCCCTTAATAATAATTCTATTTTCTTTTTCCATTGTGTTTTATTTTATTTTTTCTCTTTATATCTATTTATCCCTTTTTCCATACCTTACTTTATTCATTTCCTCTTTCTATCTATCTGTTTTTTATCCATGATCCTTTATTGCATTTAAAGGGACATCGCACATATCGAGCATTTAAATGCACTGCACATATTTAATTTTACTTATTTTATTTTACTCATTTTATTCCACACATTTTATTCTATTGTGATTGTCCATCCATTGTACTTTAGCCATTAGTTACTAGCCAGTTCCTGGAGTTTGCACACTACATTCTAGAGTGTTAGAGAAAGACTTAACCCTGCAATGTAAATATTGCAGTTTATGAAAACTGCAATAATTACACTTGCAGGGTTAAGGGTAGTTGGCACCCAGACCACTCCAATGGGCAGAAGTGGTCTGGGTGCCTGAAGTATAACTTTAAAGGAGCAAAGTCACAAACAAACTATATATATGGTAGAGTTTCATTCAGAGAAGTAACCAAATAATTGACATCATGTGCTGCTAAAAATAAAGAGAAATTGATAGATTATCTGAAGATTATTTATGCATTTACGTTTGATGTCTGACATTTGTGTCAACTCTTGGAGTTGTGTCAACGCTTGGAGATACCTACCCAAATATATATATATATATATTTATTTATTTATTTGGTAGTCATTTTGTTAATACAATATACAGGTAAAATGTATTACATATAAGGTGGGCTGACTTCAAACCAAGGATTCATCGTAGAGTGCCCTCCACCCACACATCCTGTTTTGTGCAATGGTAGGCAGAATTAAACTCTGCTTTTGACTAATACATTTTAATTGAAACTTCTTTCCATCTCATCAGGGTGGAGACAGGGTTCCTTTAGTAAAGTGCCTTTTATCTAGAATAATAAAAACCCACTGCTAAGTTATGGAAAAGGCTTAATATATGTGAACCAAATGAAAAAGTGGTGAGTAGCATTGGGAATGGGCTGATAATGACTGTGTTTCTGTCACGTAAATGTCACATTATTAGTGTTTAATCAGTATTCAAAAGTTAGCATTAGAAAAACCATAGCTGCCTCAGTAATTCCACTATAGCAACTTTAAAAAGAAATACTATAAAATCAACTATGGATCACTAGGAAAGGTCTGTACATTGTTTAGGTGAGCTACTTTATAAAATAATCCCTGATCTGCATTCAGTATACAGTTGCAGTATGACCTTTTCCTACCCTCAGGGTAAAATTCAAACTAAAATGTGTTTAACTATAACTGTAACACTATGGAAACAAGAATATGCATTGCCTAGGGCCAGAGAGAAAGCAAAGCAGCAGCTCTCTGCAACATATTGAAAATTCTCATATGTTGAGCTAGGAATCTAAAGTAACTCTTGAGGACAGCTAAGAGAAAAGAGTGTTTGAAATAACAAAAGACCATTTATTGAGATTTATTAAAATCTTCAGAAAACAAAATTGTAGCACTGTTAAAGCATCAAATATAAGAATGCACATGTATTAGGACTTTTCCTATGGAACCTCACAGACTGGGTCGGCTTCAATTCCTATTAGTGTATCAAAGAAAGAGGAATTGTCTGAGCACTCACAAGTGTAAAATGTGTAAAATGCAGTCTTTAATCAGAAAGGAATGGCACCATTTTGGCAGCCTGCAAAAGTCTTACTCAAAGTTTGCTAAATGCTCTGGCAGAGAGCTGAAATATTGCCATTCCATTCTGATCAAAGTCTGCATTTTGGATTACTCATTGCGCAAATTTATACCACCAAGTCATTTTCAAGCCAACATAGCTTCCTTCTAGAGTGAGATTCACCCATGGGAAATCATAGAGACTACAACACCTTTTGCTGCTTATTCAGGGCTGACCATAGGTTGTAAGGTGAACTTGCAGACAAGAAGCCCCAGGAACAAACGAGTGTTATAAAAAATCTGTCTCTGTGTGCGGGATCCTTTTTGTTCATGTTGTTTTAATACTCATCCAAACACAAACACAATTTGACACACAGACACATGCATATATGCAAATACTTTAAGACACACATAGAAACACACAGACAATAAAACACTCATAAAAACACTCTCAACACACACTCAAACTTAGAGGTACACACACTAAGTCACAATACACAAAAAAATATTTATGTAATTTACTTACATTATACTAAGATTTTCCCTGATTTTCTCCAGCTTTGAACTAAGTATATGAAAGGATTCTACAGACTTGTACTTCTCCTTTGCATTATGTGAGGCTTTTTAAAAGACTCCTAGTAGTGAGAGCAGTAGAAACAGTGAGGGGGCCCACAGAGTTTGCTTTCACAGATCTTCACAGCAGCTTTGTGCTTAGTATTGTCTCCCTGGTAGTGACTGTCAAAGAGTCAGGGGTGCGATAGCTGCACCTACCACACCAGACAGCCAGACTCCACACTTCCTGTGACCGATCCATGCAATGCTGCGGTGCCCTTACTGGGTAAATGTCCTGTGTGATGGCACAGATTTCACACCCCTAAGGCCAGTTCGGTGTTTATTAGATTGGGATGCAGTTTCCTAGGTAAAAAAAAGCTATTTTGTGTTGCAAATTCTATGCTGGGTAGGACAATTTTTATTAAATTATGTCATTTATTTCCATTTCTTTGCAATTCATTGTAAAGTAAAGGAAAACAGCAAGCACCAGAACCACTATGGAGTTATGTAGTGGTCATAGTGCCAGGAGTACCCTAGCATCCTACATATTAATTGGTTAAACCATAATAGAATGACTTGACTTCTTATCTGGGATCTGCAAGGTGGTAATCTCCGCCTCCACTACTCAAGACAAAGAGACAACTCTATATGTGAGCTAAACCTTGCTTAATTTATTGGTTTAGAGTTATCAGGTGATGCTCAATAATATATCAGGGCTTAGCTGAGGAAATATAGCAGAATTTACTGTCTAGGAGCTACTGGGTCTCTGGGGGAAATACTAGAAACAGGAAACACTGACCTGTGGGCCAAAGCTAAGACGTCAAATCATTCTGAAACAGTTTGACTACTTATAATGTGGGGAACTATAATGTCATGGAACTCCTGCCACTATAGTGCTCTTTAATGGTTGTGGACATTGGAGTGGTTCTTTAAATAAAACCTTTTCAATAGTTTTATTGCTAAAGGTTTTAGTTTAAATCTGTCATCTCTTTTAGACATTTTAGACATCATCATGTACCTATCTCTTGATATCTTCTTGAGGAGCACTCTTCCCTATGAAATAATCTTACTTACTACATTTTGTTTAATTACCTATGTGAAAAAGCTATATGTTACACAGTTATACTGACTTATATAACATAGAAATGTTGATTGGACCTGTGCATTCAGCTTCAAACGAATCACTATTAGTCTGAATATTAAGAGATCGTCGATCGGTCAGAATTATACAAATCCAAAACACCCTATGGATGTATCATGAAACAAGAAAAATGGGCAGGGAATGAGCCAATTCATTTGTTTTATTCAGAATATCATCCATAGTATCAGAAAAAAGGGCACAGACTGAAGAAGCTGATTTTGTGTTTTTTGGGGGCAAAGATGTGGGCTATATCTCCTCTCGAATCAAGAGGTGGAAAAAAGTGAGAAGTGACCAACTGAATGAAAGAAGAGGGAAATGGCCGATCCCCCTGTGTCTTGAGAAAGGGCTTGGACCAGCGACACTCCAACCCCCGCTCTAGACGGGCGGGGGTCATCCCGGTCCACCCAGAGACTGTACCAGATACCAGCGCTCATCATACAGCTATGAGCCGTTGCCCAAATCCCGACGCCTAAAAATGGCGGATGGCGGCTGCTCACGACCACGAGGCGAAGGCCTAGAGCTGGGGTGGTCAGATGATCACACCGCAGAAATCCTAGAGAGGCTTGACAAGACCTTTTGGCGCTTCTGGTGGAAGCTGCAGAAGCTTACTTTCATTCCCGTGGTCAGTCTACCACCGAGCGACAGGAAGGTTTAGGTCCAATCAGAGAAGGGGCCTACCTCACCAAAAACTGAAGGCCGGCACGCACCAAGAAGCACCCATAATCAGGGCTATTGAAGGCTACAGGAACCAACTTGGGCTACCAATACACGACAAAACACCCCCCAAGCACCCACAAAGGCGACTCCCAAGGCACAAGCGGGAAGCCACAGCGCGGCAACCAAAATCTGCACGACGGACTAACAGAACCCACCTACCTAGCTCACTGGGGCAGAACCGGAGCCTTCCCAGACCACAAGCCATCAACAATGTTGTCACAAACTCAACTCCACGCACGAGCCTGGGCTGACAACCCCATCGAGCCTCACAATGTCGCGGCATCAACAGCCCGCACCAAGAACATACCTAACGTGGGCATCGGCTGAAACAAAACTGGACTGATCAATTGAGGTGTGTGGCCACCACTGAACTGACCACTGAGAGCCACACAACGCACACAGGATCCAATGGTCTCCTCCTTAAGTAACTGATGTGCTGAGTAACATGCCAGTAACCTTTAATTGTACTGCTTTTCAATGATTATAAGCTTAGACAGTCATTAGGCAAACTTGGGCATCTCTCTCTACACTTCTACACCCTCAAATTACCTACACAGACCTCGTTTATATCAAAGCTAACCCATGACTAAACTAGTACAAATGCAGACTAACCATAAAAATGTGCAAGTACTAACATACCCCTGATTGTTGAAAATGTTACATAAAAGCATATGGATTGCCTTTGGGGTACCCCATGCGTGTGTTATATCTTTTGCACAACAAAAATAAAGAATATAAAAAAAATTTACAAAATGTTAGTTCATTTGACTCTAAATAAATAAAAAGCTTTAGGCTAAAACACAAAAATGTACAGCAATGTGTACAAAAGATTTTTTTATACTTGACCTGATGTGTTTTAAATGAAAAAGACACATTAATGTTCAATGTTAAAGCTGAAGATATTATTTTAAATATAAACACCTATTTATGTATTTTCTATAAATAGCATGAGATTTTAGATGCTCTATTTATTCATTCAGCAGAGTTGACGAAGAAGGGTTAGTTATAGGGGTTAAAAAAACATTAGTACATTTACACACCTGGAGGTTTGCAGCATGGAATGTAAAAAAAAATATATAAGATGTATATATATATATATATATATATATATATATATATATATATATAACATTTAAAATAAATAGAACATGAAATGAGATGGAATTTTTAGTGCTACAGGAATCTGGAATCTTAAGCATTATACCAGAATTCAATGACAAATGAAATAAAGAAATTAGGGATACTCTTCTCCATAATATCACAACAAATTAATCACAGACCAGAAGAAATGTGTTTGGCAACTGGGAATCTATATAACTCCTCACATTCTGCAAGGTTTCTACTTGATGTAAAATATATATTGCACTCTATATAAGTGCATGTTTGGGCCCTGGGGTGAAGCACTTGGAAAGCAGGGTGGGCCAGTGCTAAATACCACATTTTGGAAATTGGCAGGAGATGGCCGGCGAGGAGTCTGTTTCCACAGTTCCAACACTCTGGTTGACCTCACCTGCAAATTAAAATTAATTTCAGGTACTCCCCTGTCAAGAAGGAGAACAGATTTTGTTTGGCTTCTTATGAGGTATAAGAGGTATAAGAGCTGAAGGAACCTGGAACAATAAGGTGGATATTTTTGTTGGGAAATGGACAAGTTATCCAACCTAGTCAGTGTATTATTTTGTTAAAGAGAAACTATAGTGCCAGGAAAAACAAGTTGTTTTCCTGGCACTATAGCTCCCTATAATGTGCATGTGAAGGCATGTGATCTGTGCATGCATTCTTACAAAGAGGTGGTGAAGGTTAGATGTGTGATGGCCACCAGCAGATAGTGGTAAAGAGCCATCCATCGTAAGGTGTTGAAAAATATATATGTTCATTGAACAGTTGTGAAGTGAAACGAAATATGAAAGAGGAGGAAAAGGAAAGAAATTGTAGAAAAGGAAGAGGTACATGCTGAACTTTAGCATTTAGACACTTGCAGAGGTTACACAAGGCATAATATTGTCATTTATATTTTAAAAACTACATGTTCTGTATGTCAACAGGGGACATAAAGCACACAATACCTTCTACTAGTCCTCTTCCTTAAGCACATAATGTAGAAATAGAGGCATTTGACTGAGCAGAAAGTTTTACTTTTTGCTTACTGTTGTAGGAGCAAACCACTTAGGCTGCATTTTCACAGAATGTCATTGCTTGTTACCAGCTATTATTAAATTGTTTTACATGAGAGGCACATTCAGAGAAACAAAACAGAACAAATACATTATTTGCATTGCAACATGAAGTTTTTCTGTCTCTAGGTTTATTATGCATACTTTTGGATGAATTCATCATCTATTCTGTTTTTTCACCCTTGCTAATTATGCTAGGTAACAGATGGTCACAGAAGAATAAATTCTCTGCACTGCCACCTGGAATGCAGTATAAACTCAACCTTTCATATCCTGGGTGTACTTCGAGTACATAAACAGTACTGCTTTTTAAGCCAAACTAAATTTATTCAATAATAGATCAACATGAAAATACATTATTTGCTTTTTCTCCTGAGATGTCCGCTCAGCTACCAGTAGAAATTTAAATTAAAAGATATATACACAAATTATGCGGAAATTTAATGTAAAAGTTTATTTAAATGCAAAATACATATTTAAGGTAAAAATATGCTTTAGAATTATTACTAAACAATTTGATAGGCTCATTCACCTATTTTGTCAAAACAGGAAGGGGAGACAGTCATAATTGACAGTCTCCTGGTGGTGGACCAGAACACTAGTTAGAGTGGAATCACCACTGAAGAATAAGGTAAGGTTTTTATGGGAGGAGGGAATCTGGACTCTAAATGGTTAAAGAAACACTCCAAATGTTACAAACAAATATCCATTTTTAAAGTGGTACTGTCACCTTTCCCACCTAAAAAGATAGTATTTCATAAAGATAGAATGTCACTGAACCCAGTCAAGAAACCCAGTCAAGAAATATACTGAGACAAAGTCGGGACTACTTTTTCTCTGTATATTTCCTACACCTTACACTTCTAGACACTGGGCACGGCTATCAATATCTAAAAGTGTCTATCCCCACAGCCATCACAAATTACACTGTATGGAATTGGCTCTGTCTATGGAGGATCCCGTGGTCTTGCTGGATCCTCCATAGAACTTAATCCATGCATGAGATTACAGCAATGATGTCAGCTTCTGGTGGAAGATGCTCACACCTGGGAAGAGTACCAACCAGATGAAGATGGCCTCACCCATGAGGGACAGGTTCAGATAAGTAGAACTTACCCTTCCCTCCCCCCGTCCACCATACCCACAGCAGTGATGTCACCATCTGGGGTCTTTGCAAATTCTGCGTTGTCCCCAGAAGGCAACTTTGCTGCTTTAACATTGGAGCCTTTATCAAGATTTTATCTCTAAATGTTATATTGAGACTCTTATAGGTAGTATAAATAAACCTAAAGACATCTGTGTGTTAGCTTAGTTCTTCTAAAAGATATTCCAAGGTTCAGTCCTTGGTCCCCTACTGTTCTCCATCTATACTGCCTCCCTTGGTAAACTCATTAGCTCCTTTGGCTTCCAATATCATTTCTATGCAGATGACACGCAAATCTACCTGTCCTCTCCTGATCTCTCCCCATCCCTCTTGACTAGTGTCTCTGACTGCCTCTCTGCTATTTCTAACTGGATGGCTGCCCACTTCCTTAAACTAAACTTGACCAAAAATGAAATTCTGGTCTTTCCTCCCTCAAGTGTTGTTACTCCTGTGTCTGTCTGTCTCCAAGTCAACGGTGCTACCATCAGCTACACCACGCAGGCTCGCTGCCTAGGTGTTCTCTTTGACTCCGACCTCTCCTTCAAGCCTCATGTTCAATCTATCGCCAAATCCTGTAATTTCAATCTCAAAAACATTGCGCACATCCGCCCCTACTTAACGCCAGATGCAACTAAGATGTTGGTCCAATCCACTATCCTTTCTCGCCTTGACTACTGTAATCCGCTTCTCAGTGGTCTTACGTGCTCCCAACTTGCGCCGTTATAGTTCATAATGAATGCGGCAGCGAGGCTCATCTTCCTGTCCGCAAGCACCTCCCATGCCTCACTCTTCTGTCAGTCCCTACATTGGCTTCCTATAAAATATAGAGCTCAATTTAAAATTATGGTTCTTGCTTTCAAATCTCTACATAATGCTGCTCCCACCTATCTATCCTCCCTTATTCACAAGTATATCCCGTCTAGGCCCTTACGATCTCCTGAAGACGTCTATCTTCTGTCCGTACTCCCACCTCTGATGCTCACCTTCAAGATTTCTCGAGCGCTGCACCGTTCCTGTGGAACTCGCTTCCCTCCTCCGTTAGATGCTCACCCAGTCTCCACTCCTTCAAAAAATCGTTAAAAACCCACATCTTCATAAAAGCGTATCAATTAAACTGTTAATAGCTCCTGACTGATTCCTCTCCTGCAACTGTCACTAGTCTAATACTATCCTTACCTATTTGTGTCTTTTTACTCCACTCCCTCTAGCATGTAAGCTCATTGAGCAGGGATCTCAACCCCTCTGTTCCTGTGTGTCCAACTTGTCTGGTTACAACTACATATCTGTTCGTCCACCCATTGTAAAGCGCTGCAGAATTTGAAGGCGCTATATAAATATCATAATAATAATATCACCAGATCACAAGGAGAAGTTCTTGCAAACTTTTGGTAACTTTATTACAGATTTAGTCTCTGAATAATAATATTCACATCTGTAGTCATCCAAAACTGAATAATGATGTCACACTTGTATGCCATAATTAGTACAAGTGAGAAATTTGATGGGAAATGAACTATTTGCCACTTCAGCCAATTGTAATCAAGCAGTATATAGCCAGCATATCTCATAGTTTAAGTAACTAATTTTTCACAGACTATGTGACAACTTATGTCATTGATGTATCCGTGTGTCTATATTTGTGTGCATGCATGCATGTGTGCATACAACAGTAAATATCCTATATTTCATAAAGTGAAAATAAGATAGCATATTATTTTTATCAATGTGTTGTGATCTAAAAAACAATTTACATTTTAAATGGATTTCAAAACAAGAGAAATCATTGAAATTTAACTGAAACAATTTAACCATAGTTGATAAGATTCTGAACATTTCCCGCTGGAATCTATAAACAATTGGACCAAAACTGTTTTATTCATTTGTAAGAATGAAGTGGTAGTTAGAGAAATTCTATCAACTTGCAAGAATACATCAGCCAAATTGCATTCACCGAACATCTGCAAAAACCTTTATTGTATAACCACTTAAATTCAAGACAGAGATAACAT